CGTTCGGCCCTGGCGGGGCGGGGGGGCCAGCCAATGGGACAGCCGGACGCGGCGAAGAGGGGGCGGGGGAGGAGCGGCCTGTCACTCAACTGCCCCCACCTCGGGGTCCGCGAGCGCAGTCCCTCCGCTCGGCCCGGGCCGCAACTCGCCGCCCCCCGCGGAGCCGACACACACACACACACGGATCCCGGGAGGGCTGCTGCATTGTTTTCTGCAGCTGCTGCCCCGGGAGGAACAATGCGCGCTCGCCCCCTACCCCCGCCCTGCATTCCTGGGCCCGGGGCTTTTGTTTGCCCTGCAAAGCCCCGGAGAAAGTGACAAAGCCCGGTTGGGCTCCTCCCGGCACCAGCGCCCCTACCCCGGCTCTGACCCCCGGGGCTGCTTCTGGCTCGTTCCGCTGCCCCCGGGAGGGTCAGGGGCCGCCCAGCCCCCCGGGAGAGCCCCCGGGGGCAGCCGCGGGGCCAAAATCCGTGTCGGGGTTTTTGAGGAGAAGTCACTGGTCAGAGCGGGATTCCCTTCCCCGGGCAGCAAGAGGGAGAGAAGACGCCTCGGAGGCACCAGTCAAACTGCTAGAAAACTTTCTGGGAGGCAAGACTCTTTTTGGTGCTCTCCTTTGTGGGCCCCCGGGCTCGGGCGGGAGAGCCGTGGGGCGGGCGCTCCTCGGGGAAGGACCCGCGCCGAGGCGGCAGCAGCGATTCGGCAGCGTGGCCGGTGTCCCGGGGCCCGGGGAAGTTTCCTTCTAGATGAACGTGTCGTTTCTTTTTCTGCTCCAGCGGCAGCACAGGGGAGGATGCTGCACGAAGCAAGACATGAATGCAGATTTGTTCCAGCCGCTTCCCAGCCCCTGGGTTTCTTCTCTGCTCCCCTCAGATTCTTCAACCATTCCTTTTCTTACAATAATTTCTAGATCTTTTGCAAGTGGGAAGTAAGAGCCGTTGTAATACGGCTATTTTCATCTGATCTTAGAGTCTATAAATAATGTAAATCTGTTGAGCTGTTTATATTTTATTTAGACCACAGCTAAGTCAACATTAAGAGGCGGAAACAATTAGATAAATAATTTGCACTGAATAATGTGACTAGTTCTGGTTCTAAGTGGGGGACGGGGGGAATCCTTCAGTCCATCCTCGGGAAACACTTGCACTGAATAATGGGACTAGTTCCAAGTATTATTATTTGGGGGCAAAATCCTTCAGCCCTTCCTCAGGAAATACTTTTACTGAATAATGCGACTAATTCCAGTTCTAAGCATTATGATGTTGGGAGAAAAAACCTTCAGTCCTTCCTCAGGAAAACTCTCTGAAGCCACTGTCTGCAGGATTAAGCTGTGAAGAGCTATCTAGCCCTGTTCCTCCTCCTGGTTTCAATGGGTACTGAAACTGCAGGAATAATGGAGGACCAGAATCAAGATGTGTTGGCACAACTGCGTGTGGCAGTTGTTGGCACAATAGCTACAGGCAGTCCTCGACTTACAACATTTTGAGTTACAACATTTCGCGCTTACAATGTTTATAAATTGACACCCTGTTTCAACTTTATGACGTTAGTTTCGACTTACAATGCTTGATCCGATGCGATGCCATACGAGCAAACAAGTTTGCTGTGTCGCTCATCTCCCTGGAGAACATCTGTCCAAACTTCCTTGGACACTTTCTTTAAGAAAGCAGACAAGACTCCAGAAAAACCTGCAGCCAAGACTTGAGAAGACTCCAGCCAAGAACCCTTCAAAAAGTCCAACCAAAGTCTTTCAAAAAGTCCAGCAAAGTCACCTCAAAGAAGTCCTTCCAAATCAATATGATTGCTGTTTACAATATAAATACATTAGTGTAGCCATATTACTCATCTATAACTGATCGAGTACAAAATTCTGGGGTATTTTGGGTGAAAATAGGTTATCAGGCCTTGGTTCAGAAACCAATCCCCCATTTATAACATTGTTTCTTGTGAAAATACTGGTTCCAAGTTACAACATTTCAACTTAAGTCCAAGTTTTCAGGAACCAATTGTGTCTTTAAGTCAAAGGACTGCCTGTATTTCAGGTCAGTCTAGTACCTTCTAGAATAGTGTATTTGGCAGTGAAGAAAAACCCAAAATATAAAACACAAGACTAAATAATATTTCCAAAAACCAGTATAATGTATTGCTGTTGCATATAAAAGTGATCTAAATACAGTTTTTAAAGACAAAAAAAATTCAATATGATGAAAACTTAACATTGCTGAATAATGTGAAAATAAACAGTCTCACTGCAAATGATTTACAATGCCCCTGATAATCATTTCAGTATCTCTGATTATTAATGGAACATTGATATGTCTCAGAAGAGCTCAACGCTGAATCAGCTTTTGCAATAAATTGCTTTTCCCTTCAGCCCCAGCTTCACCCTACAAAAAGGCCTCCATATCTTGGCCTGGGAATTGATTTAGGACAACTAAAGGATATTATAATGCATGGTATCAGATGCATTATAGATTAGTGCACATGCATTAGAGGAGCTCAGTTTCCTGTGCTCCAGTCTTTAGCTCCTATAAGTACCTGAGCATCTTTCTTCATTTTAAAAACATAAAGGCACATTCTTCTGGGATCACTGATATTTTGTAATTTTATTTGAGTTTTATTTCTTTTACTATTTTACCAAATCAATTTATTCAAACTGCTGGAATACAGAGAAACTAACAGGTTTTATGAAGCTGAGATTCAGTACTAAATCTGTAAGAGACAGATGCAATTTAAGTGCAAAGTATCATTAGTAGAGTCTTGTTTGTAACCAGGTTTGTGAAAAACAAACACAGAAAAGCAAGTAAAAGGTAAGATAACTTTTCAGGATACCTTTTTCATGAACTAAAAGGTCTGTAAATCGCGCTGGGTAATGAGCAAGGTCCATTGACTTTATACTCAAGCATTTAACTTCTAAAGCACTTTTTTTCTCTAGGCTGGCTTTTGCTCCATGGTCCAGAAGGCCTCTGTGCTAGAATATCATGAGAGGCATGAACCAGTGATCTATAGCAGGAACCGACATAAGGCTTTGTAACCAATAAGAACCTATAATTTCAACAGACTTCCTTTTGAAAAATGAATACACAGCAGCAATCAAGAAATTTTCAAGACAAAAATTAAAATCCCAAATAATTTAAGCTAAATCATTAAAGACTTATGGTCCAGCTATTCCTGTACCTATCTGATACAATAGAGAAAGGTGAAAGGAACATAACAGAGGACAAGTATAGAAAATCCTATGTGCAGAAGTCATCTCTTAATTTAAACCAGTTGGCATCTGGCTTGTGCTTTGACGACTAAGCTTCAAAAAACTATTTCTCTGTCAATTTTTGTATCTGACCCATGAAGGATTCACTATGGAAAGATATTCATTTTGGGAAATTTAGTTACTTCTGGGGGAAGGCAAAGTACAAAAAGCTAATGAATTAAAGAATTATTAGGCTATCAACAACCAGGCTATGAGCAAATCAAACACTATCATGAGGCATGTCAAGTAGCTAGGGACTTCCCAAAACAGTCTCTATAAACCCATCTGAGTAACACATTGCTGTCTGTTACTTTCTCTTCTCTTTTTGCTGGAAAGCGTCTATTTTTACCTAGTAAAAGATCTGATTGGTTTTTCTTGGCATTATAATTTTCCATCCAAAATCCACTGTCATAACTCTGTGAAAGACTCAGAAATATCAGCAATGAACTACTGTATCTATGATAAGCATATATCAGGTAGAACCCCTGGGGATCATAAAATAAAAATAAGAGGAGAAAGCACTGTCTGCTAATGTTTGATTATTCCCTTGTACATTTTCTAGCCCTTTCTTCATGCTAGCTCTCAAAGTCCTCAGTCACTGGGCTTCACTGCTTCCCTTGGGAGCCTGCTTCCTTTCTATAACCTAATAACTCTCACTGCCCAACCTATGTTTTTCCTTTCTCAGTTTCACTGCATTAGTACTGGATATATCCCATGTAACAGAGGCACTAACTCAGCTGTCTCCTTAGTGCATACAGCTCTGCATAGGTAGTTTTTTTAATCTTCCCTTGTAAATCAATTCCTCTAAGCACCCAATTGTTTTCCATCCAGTTCAGGAATATCTCTACAGAAACAGGGGCAAAGTGAGAGTTCAAAGGCATAGATGGCAGATGTTCCCAATGAGTTTTGGTGAAGTTAGTTACATAATTGCTATATGTCCCTTTGAAAATCCCCTTGCCAGTGCACAGAAGTGGATGATGTTTCAAGGATGTATCAAGAGAATCAAGAAACACCCCATCTATCACAAGAAGTGCATGGCAGTGGGTAGCACCTTACATGATGGTACTCTGAGAAAGTGAGTTACCTAAGAGATGAGAAGGAAGAGTGAAATCTATACTGGGGGTTGCTGAGGGAGGGGACCTGGCCACTAAGAAAGCAAAACAACTAAGGTAGATTGTTAGCTTATAGTTCATTGTTGTAATTCACAGTATTTTAATTTCAGCAAGGTTGGGGGAGGGCAGTGGGACGCTCTTTGTGTAAAAGTTAAATATTAAATGAAAAGGTTATATTCCGCTATCATAAGGCCTTCCACAATTGTTCATGGTCTGCTTTAATATGTATGGAATGACATAGAAATGGTCTCAAAACTGCCCTGGTCCTTTCCAGATAGTACTTTATTACCTACACAAATGCGTTTAGAATTATGCCCAAATCTTCACACTTTTTGAACATGCTCAAATCTTAGAATTACTGATATTAAAGAAGAAATTTAAGTAGTAGGCCCTCAGTGTCATGCAAAGCCCAAACATCCTTCTTCCTATGTAAGGACCAGAGTCCTGGGAATTTAACGGATGCTATATTGTACAGATTATGGTTTTTAGTTTATTCTTTAGTTGTTTTAAAACAAGATACTATCTACATTGTAACATAATAAAAAGAAGGACATTTCTATATTGGGCCTCA